TGCAAATTGGCTAATTTACATATGTAAATTACCCAATAGTAATATTGCCTGCAAATAACATCAATGAGCACCCGTATCAAATTTGGTTCAAATCCGTTGAGTTTTCATGAGATAATCCCAATTTACTAAAAAATGAATATGGAAATTGTCTAATTTACATATTTAACATTAACAGATTTTGTATAAGTATTCATATTTCTTTTCAAATTTCATTTATCTTCCTTTTAGACAACCTCAGAAAGTGAAGTTTATGTGTAAAACGCCTGCATTTGTGGTGAGCAGGCAGTAACATGAATTAAATATGCTATCAGACAGTACCTATGCAGTACCACCTAAGCCTCTGTTCATTGGGACATGGGACCCTTTTGAACGCAAGGACCCTTTGAACTCCTAACACTCGTATTTACCTGCTTCGTGTGGGTTCATAATGACATTTTAGTGCCAAACGCACAGGCGCATAGTTTTCAATCTAACCGAAAATGAAATCTGTGTGTTTTGACTTTATTTCTGTTCGAATGGGCTAATTTTTACATTATTTCTAAATTACCTTTTACGACATTTATGAATATATAATGAGCAACTGTTTAGTAGTATTCTCATGATTTTGAATTTTCCCAGAATACTAGTTTGCGAAAATTCGAAAGGTCCTATTTTAATATATCTCTGCACCGTGAGATCTGAAACTCGTCGCTGATTGGTGGATGGATCATAGTGGTACTAATAAAATAGAGGGCTACCAATATGTATTGGTTGTGTGCATATGTAACGCCACTGAGCCCAAAACGGCCGAGCTGGCGAAATCAGCTCATATGGCTCATATAGTTTTTTTTTTATAAATCCGCACGCGAGTGTTATATTTCGTCCGTCAAAGTGGTTTGAAGTTACGAACACCCAGTTACGAAAACATCGAGATAAACAAAATCAAACTTTAACGTTAAACAAAAAAACAAAATATATGTTGCCCGTAAGTTTGGTTAATTCTTAATTAATTGAACTCTAAATTAAAGTGGGTTTCCAAATGTGGGCGTGGTTTCTAAAATATGGGCGTCATTTTCATTCAATCGATGTTCGTAACTCGATGTTTGTAACTCGACCAATTCACCATTTCATCTATCAATGGACGCTTTTTTTTAATCTTTCACAAAATACTCTCATAATTGATTGCATATATTTAAAAAAAAGAAGACCTGTAGTAAATTATATCCAATTTATCAAGAAACATACATAAGAATGTTTCTCCAAGATTTGATCGAGGAAATGTGATGGCGCCAACAGGTTTATTTCTTAATCATCAAACGTGTTGGCTTGTATGTTGACTTATTTACTGAATTCCTAACTTGAACAAAGGAGGAAGGATGAAATATTCTCTTGCAAAATATTATGTCAACTGCATATACAAAATTTTGTTTACAACTCTTCCAAGCGGAATCTGGATGATAAAACGATCTAAATCCTAATCTAAGCCAGTAAACTTTCCTTAAAGTAGGATTTAAATCGTGTTATCATCAAGATCCCTCTTGAAAGAGTTGTAAGCAAAAATTTGTATGTGGAGAAGAGAGGAAACAACCAACATGTCTTTAGGAGGAAAACGTGAAAACTCGGTGGATTATTAAGGTTATTATACATGTAACACTAGGTTTTGAGAGCTGCTGAGTCCAAAAAAGTACACTTAATGAACAAAAGAGACATACCTATACAGAATTTGATTTGCCAGTACTTAATCCATTTTAACACCTTGGCTACTCTAGACATCAATACATGCACAGAATAACCAAAATTCTCACGTTTCCTACGGATTAAAAAAATGCTTTTAATATTAATTCATAAAAGGACTGCAAAATAACACCCTATGAACAGGTTTATGCCAAGGAACGGCTTCGTATTTCCACCGTCAATCTTCGATGAACCCTGATCGAGTTAAGACTGGGGTTAAATGACACAAAATGCAAATATAAATTGAATACCACAGTTTTACTGTCATAAAAATAACACAGTATTTTTAATATATAGAAGATAATATTTGGTAATCGTAGTCCTAAATAACTATTAAAAATAGCTAGACGTTTTGAGCAATGGCTCTTTATCGATATCATAGAAGAAAATGTTAAAACGTACAGGTAGAACATAGAAACGTAAGAACGCGCATGAACTATAAATTAGAATCACAAAAAATTCCACAATAGAACAAATAACGCGCCTTATGTAGTGAGCTCAACAAATGAATTGAACTGTTTGTTAATACCATGGAGTTCTTTAGTTCCAAGACGGAATATAGTTTCCTCCTCGACACGCCTGATCTGATTTTCGTTGCCATTGACAACACACACACCAGAAATAGACATATCTGTAATATTATGTCCACTAGAATTAAAATGAAGTGAAACTGGATAATAACGATTTTTCTGTCTAGTTTGCCGATCACCCAATCGACGAACTGTAGAACCAATATAAAGTTTCCCGCATTTAAATGCATGAAATGCAATATACAACATTCATGGTGATACAACTGATCGGATATTTGACCTC